CATCATACAACATTGTAGATGGAACTGAGGACGTCATAACCGCAACAGTGACTGTCTCACTGTTGGGTTTCGCGACTGTTTCAAAGTCGGGACGACGTGAGAGTGCATCAGCGACGACATTAAGTCGTCCTGGTTTGTACTCGACCGTAAAGTTGTATTCCGCAAAGAATGACAACCACCGCGCCATTCGTTGTGAAAGGTGCGGGCTGTTCACTGCCGTGCGTAATGACGCATGGTCAGTGTAAACAATGAAGGGTCTATCTCCTAATAGATAGACTCTGAACTTCGCGAGTGCATACTTCATGGCAAGGAGTTCCTTGTCATGCACTGGATAGTTCCGCTCAGCTGGTTGCAGCTGACGCGACTGATAGCAGACGACGCGTTCAACGCCTTCAAGGTAGTACTGCATTAATGCACAGCCGATTGCGAAATCGCTGGCATCACAGACCACATGAAATGGCCTTCCCTGATCGGCAATTGCTAGGACTGGGGATTGTATCAAGCTCTGCTTGATACCCTCAAAGGAGCGTTGACATTCAGCGTTCCATAACCACCTCTCGTTCTTTTTCAACAAACGAGAGAGGTGCACAGTCATCTCGGCGTAATTGCTTGAATACTTGTGCAAATACGCCGCTAGCCTAGGAATTTTCGAAGACCTTTGACATCAACCGGCACAGGCTAGTCGGTGACCGCCTTGATCTTTTCGGGATCAGGACGTACACCGTTCTTACCAACGATGCACCCAAGAAGTGGTATTTCGCTTGCTGCAAATATACACTTCTTGAGGTTTGCATACAATTGATGCTTTCGCATGATTGTAAGAACTTGTCGGACGTGGTACCTGTGAACCTCAACGTCCGACTTTCCATCCATTGCCCGACTATGGATGAATACGTCATCGAAATAACTCGGCGCGAATTCTCGTACTGGTCTCAACAGATGTGATACACATCTGTTGAACGTGACAGCGGCATTACGAAGCCCTCGTGGCATTACTAGCCATTCCCAGAGCATGCCGCTAGGCGTGCTCACTGCGGTATAGGGTATGTCCTGTACTCGCATAAGGATTTGATAGAAGCCATCCATCAAATCCATGGACGAAAGGATGGTACTCTTTGACATACCATCAATGATTGCGTCTTTCCTTAGTGTCGGCGTCTGAGCCAGTACCGCTGCAGCATTTAACTTGTTGAATTCACGCACTATCCGCCACCCTCCTGTTGCTTTTTGCACACAGAAGGTCGGAGAGCTATGTGGGGAAGTTGATTTCCTCACATGGCCTGCAGCTGAACGGTCTGCAAAGAACTTGTCGATCGCAAGTACTTGTTCACGGGGCAGTGGCCACTGCTTCATGACACAGTACTTCGAGCCTGGTTTAAGCTCGACCTCGTGTCGAATACCTTTATCCTTCGGTAACTCGCACGGAACAGTTTCAGGGAATACATCCTTGAATTCAACCAAATCTTCATAGAGAGGATTTGTCTTGAGCGATTCCCACGATTGGGAGTCATATCGCTCAACTCGTGTCTTTTCATCCAGGACACTCTCATCCATAGATGAACTACTGCGAACTCTCTCGTTCTCAGTAAACACTGTTGCTGACCTTATGACGGATACACACTCGTCGTCAGCGACGAGTACCCAGATCTGCTTGACTTTGCCACTACGCAGATCACGCAAGAACCTTTTATGCTCAAGCGTTGGCAACTGAGTGATCTCCGAAGTTAACTTCGGAGGCGCAATCAGATCAAGTGTATAAGCGCCTACACTTGATCCGTTATTAACTAGGACATTCACCGTCTCTGTCATTTCCTGGGGACTTATTCCCTCAGGCTTCGAAGGACTTATTCCTTCGGCTTCCCGGGGACTTATTCCCGCGGGTTTCGGGGAACTTATTTCCGCCGCATTTGTAATATCAGGACTTATTCCCTCAACTTTCGCTAGCTGTGGTTGCGCAACCACAGCGAGATCCTCTACGAAAGACTCTCCAGTCGATCTAGGATTATCGTTTCGCTTAGCCTGAGCGATAGATTGTTTCTTCTCTAGATGTTCCCCGCTAGGGATACATCTTTGTCCCAGTCCACTCGAATTATTCGAGTGGTGGACCTTCGGCGCAGCCTGTGTTTCCTCACAGCCGCCAGAATCTTGCTCCGAAGTGTAACTTTTTGTTACACTAAGGTTTTGTGCAGTCGTACTAACGACCGTACCACAAGTGAGGCCATCGCACTCACTCGTAGTACATCCACACGCTTGTGGACGCTCCAAAACGTTCATCAGATGGCCATCTGATGAACAAGCGGCAGGCATCGTTACTGTCCGATGTTGCCAGTTTACCCGTGGTTCGTACCTTCTGAGCCACGGTATTCCAAGGATGACATCGAATTTGTCATCCAAATCCAATACGATAAAGTCATCGTCATATTGGGTATCTTCTAGCGTATAGCGAATCTTCACTATACGCTTCATGACGGTTACGGATGCGCCTGTCGCAAGACGTACCGTCATCCTCGTAGGAGGTGTGTCACATTCACTGAATTTAAAGTGACCATCTTCTAGCGATTGGCGTCGCACAAAATTGTTAGACGCCCCACAATCGACTAGAGCTCGAAGGGACAACTTATTCGTCACTTCGAGTTTCAAGGTAATGAGTGAGATCTCTTTACCTAGAGCAGCAACGCACAACGTTTGTGTGTTGGGAGCAACCTTCATCAAGAGGCCTACAAATTCTCTTGACGTTGCTAGACCAGTAGGGTGCTCCGCACCTACTGATCCTGTCCGTTTTTTGACGGTCCATCCCGTTGTTGCGTCTTTGCACCAACTGCAGACCCTCGTCCCTGCCCCTTTCTCATGGGTGGACGGTCACTACGCCCAGTGTCGCGAGACACTGGACGAGGGGCACTACACTCGTAAGCGTAGTGTCCTGTCTTTTGACATCTGTTGCATCTCTGCAACTTCTTGTAGCCTGTAGAGCGAACCTTCTCGCTCTCTACATAACAGAGTTCCATCGGCTCTGGACCTCCGTTGTCATATCGTCTCGGTTGACGATATGATGTCGAGCTGGCGCGAGCCTGTCTCAGACTGAAGTCTTCCTGCTCCGCAATGGAAATGGCTTGTTCTAGTGAATCTAGTTCAAGCCGGAACAGGTGAGTCTTGACGGGACCATCCGCAAGACCCTGCATAAACACCGAAACCAACGTGTGTTCATCCACTGGATTGGAACTTATACAACTCGTAAGATGTCGTATATGTTGCGCGTAAGCGTGTACATCACGCTTACCTTGCTTGAGCTTCAAGAGTTCGGTTCGAGCTCTGAACTCAGCTCTAGGCGGTTCAAACGTTTGTCTGAGCCGCGACTTGAAGACTTCCAACGACCCAAACGCATATGAGTCGTGCAGCTTGAGCCCCAGTGCCCAAGTCTTGGCACGTCCTGCCAGATTTGACTGGGCAAATGCAACTTGCATATCCCCGTCGTCGATGCGACGCGCCCTTATGGCGTCATCCAATTCGACGAACCATCTCAAGAGGGAGTCCTCTTCGACTCCTCTGTACGTGGAGATGTCAATCTTCAAGGTTTCGGGTCGACGCGAGTGCATCGACCCACCAGCAGCAGCCTGCTGCTGTCTCAACAGTTCAAACTGTTGAGCACCCTGTTCTCTCAACAACTCTGATTGTTGAGAACCTTGTTGGTGAAGCAAGGCTACTTTCTCGCGTTCAGCGTCAAGTTCATTTTGAATGAACTTGGTATATAGTAGCATGGTGGGCATCTTCTTTGAGAGCCTCTAGCATGACGCTAACAGCATGGATGCCCATGGTTGAACCCATCCGTTCAACAGCATCCCATTCTACATTGCTCAAATGGGAGTAGCCGTCACGCGTAGCGTGAAAGCTTTGGTCATCTTCATCATCTAGCATATTCATGTTGGATGTGAACGTGGTCCTTGGACGGACTACGAAGTGCTACCAGGTGTAACGGGGCACCCTGAAGCTTGTACTGGTGACAGTACAAGCTACTTATTCTGATGAAAGAATAAGGCGGTGCCTCGGAACTTCACGTACACTAGTACGTGCAGAGGAAGACGGTAAGAAGAAGCGAGTACTTGGTTAGAGTAAAAAGTAGAACTGTATTTATAATAGTTAATGTCTGCAACAAATCACTATTTATCTTCATCTAACCATGTCTGAAAACAAATGTGCACATCAACTATTTGCTCACCACTCATTGCGTGCGTCTGTCGTGGCGCGTCTTCGTTGGTTGATATAATGGCCTATATCAACCAATAATTAGGAACTACTCGTAAGTGCTGCAGAATATTTGTCCTTATGACAATATTCTGAGAATATACCTCTTACAGTTATATTCTATTAGCAATTTCTAATACATCGTTCTGTAACGATTCACCCCGTTACAGATGTGGCTGGTATCGTTGCTGGGTGTATCGTTTTGGCTGGAGTAATGTTGCGTACTGTTGTCGAATCGGCCTTCGCACTGACATTATAGTATCTTCTTGTCATTTCGCGTCTTTCCTGCGATATCCTATACCCGTTACGCCTGTCTTCGCTTTATCGACCTGTGTCTTTATCAATTGCAGTATGGAACGGGCGTGCGCAGTCAGAGGCCGTATGCGCGTGCGGCGTGGACGATTCTTTTAGCCAACTACCACTTTGGTCCCTCAAGGGAAATGTTAAGCCAAAGAGAGGACCCTGATACTAAAACTAGGCGGTAACTGGTTGGAGCTTGACATGAAAAGTTGGGAATGAACACGAAGTCGAAACCCTGTTCAGTCGAAAAATCGTTACGACGAAAATGCGTTTATTGAGTTGTCAATGGTCCTGATGGCGGTGCTTCGAAACTGGTAGGTGTGAAGCATTGCGCCCATGTCAGGCTCGTAGATGTGGCAGCATACAACAAAGCAGTGGACGAGTTTAGTACAAAATTCTGAGCTTTCCGCTCGCAGTATTATCGTCGCTCAGATCAGTTAGCTGGAATTATCGTCATAGGACTACTCATGGTCGGTCATCATCGCCCGTTCTGATTCCAAGGCCGTGGTCGAAGTCATGGTTGAGGCAGACTGTGCAGTAGTAGACGTAGTGCTCGTCGTTGACGCATTCGAATTGTTTCTCGATGTGGTTGTGCTAATTGGGGCAGCAAGTCCATTCGTTGTAGTAGGATGATCCGTCACGGTCTTTGTTAATTGGTCGGACGTTGACTCAGACGTGTTTGTGGACGTTGACGAAGTGTTCGAAGACTTCGTCGAAGCCACCGTCGATACCGCACGAGATGGCACTCGAGGTGTAGTAGTCGGAGCTGTATTGCTTGGTCCCTGATTTGATGTCCGCCCGAGCGGCGTGGCTGAGCACGGCGTCTGTGCATACAGCGGCTGGTTGCCTTGGCCCGAACTTCCCGACGGCACCAGATCCTTGATCGTGATGCTGTTCACTTTCAGGTCGTCCAGCACCGTACGGACGTCGACTGCAGCATTCGCACATCCACCGCAGTGATGGACCGCTACCACTAAATTGTCGTTTGATGAAAGGATCGGTGATCCTGAGGACCCTTCTCGAGTGTCTGCGTAGTGCCCCACCTGGGCAGCTCCGCATATCGTTTCTTCACCGACACTGTGAATCGTCGCATCGCCCCCGCCATCGACTTTGCTTGCAATGCGCTTCGCAAAACCCGACGGATGTTGCGGCACGTAGATCGTCTCGTTCAGTACCGGTCCCGACTCGCGCAGCTGGAGATACCCGTACGGAGTGAGACTGACGCAGTCCGGTAGCTTCAAGACCGAGTAGTCGATCTCTTTGCTTCCATGGATATAGGTAGCTGTCGTTGCCACGACTTTTCCAGCGCAACCAAGACCTTTCTTACACTCTTCTCTGCAAGAGGAACTCTCGGCGGCAAACTCAATATCTGTGTTAAGCGCCCATTCTTCGTTTTCGAAGCAGTGTTGGTTCGTGAACAGATGCCCCTCGCTGCCTGCTAGCCAACCTGTGCACAGATAGGTACCGTTGATGAGCAGACGAGCGACGGCTTGGGACTTCTCGTAAGCCTGAGGCAGTCCGCCAGCCAAGGAGGAGCCTGGAGCATAGCATTTGGCAGGAGAGGACTGGTCTCCATCGCCGCAGACCGATTCGTGGGGCACGGTCGGAAAGCCACGCGAGAACCCAGTGACGCGGTAGCCCTGACCGGACGTAGCTTCCCCGACAGAGTTGTAAGTTATCGTGACAGAGCCACCTGGAATAAAGCTGGCGACAAATGTTCCGCTTTGATCACGACCTCGACCAGTGTACGTGTGAGAGACATCCGTATCGGCGTCTGGAGAGCTGATCACCACGGAATCTCCGTCCGGCAGATCAAAATCGGCAAAGTGGACGGCAATATACGACGCCATGTTGTACGAGATGTAGTCGTCACAGGAGTCTCCGGCCTCGACGACGAGGCTCCACGGCTCGGTCGCACCGACGATGGCAATGCCTTTATCCGTGTACTTGGTTCCCGCGACAACTTGAAGCGCCACGAGAAGGATAAAGAGCGGTCGAAACAATTTCATCTTGGAATAAACAGCTCGTGCTACGAACGGCAAATTGGGAAGTGAAAAATGTAGACTACGTGACAGGCCCCACGCCCTGGTGCGAACAGCGGTGCAACAAATTTACTTGCGCCCTACTTAGATTGCTTTGCTGGGTGACGCATAGGACCGGTGTAATGGACACGGCGGGTCCTTACCACGCAATCGGCGACAAGTGACAGAGTGGTCAGTTCGAAGTCGAAAAGAGCTGATTTTTGCGGTGCGTAGGCAACCGCTAAAACGTCGTCAGCCATGCCGTTTTTTTTTACGACGTTTGGACTGGCGAGGAATAGGTGAAAGTGAGGCTTTGTCATTTACGCCAACCGGCACAATGAAGTGAACCTTCTTTCGTTACACACCGACCCGTGTACAGGTGAAACCACTACGCGAATGTTGAGTTCAACGGCCATGGCAGCAGTAATTTATAGAGTGCTATGACAGTGACCTATCGCACCATGAACATTTAAAGTTGGTCATGTGGAGGCTAATTCAATCAAGAAAAGGGCACGTAGGGATAGATAATTTAGGTCACCAAGCTGAAGGGGCGTCTTTGCCGCACATTCCCCCCAGGTCGCGTGGGCTTGAGCGCAACCCGCGGCGCAGCATCGTGAGACCCTCTGGCGAAATGTGTTTTACATCAAGATTTTCGGTGATCTAAAGACAATTGACACCAGCTTTTTCGGTTGTTGCTCCATCGGTCTTGCTCCCTTGCTATCACTCATACAGACGCGCTCGTTTAGCAATTACATACGTGCTGTCATTTAATTGAATAGCTGTTTCTGTCGCAGGGTCGAGCTGGGAGTTACACCCACTCTATCGCTTTTGGGAAGCATCTTTTTACCATTTACTTGACTGAATCCAGTCAAGATTTCGACTGCGACGCGATGAGTCTCCCAACATGGCTGTTTTCTCGCTTTTCACGTCAAATTGAAGCGTTTGAAGTTGCGACGGAATACTACACCTTTTTCGACCGTAGTACTTGAACGTAACGCATCGACATGGCTCACGCTGTTACTTTACGCAAGGACCAATCCATTGTGTGCTTGCAATGAAAAGTGTGTTTACTACCTTGATGGATTCGTCGCAAGACGAAGTATATATTCGCTTCTGATGGTGATGTTGGATGTCTGTCATGCAATGCTACTCCTGGATGAACTTGACGGTGGCCTCTCCGCCAATATGGCAAGATCAACAGTATGACCCCAATGATTTTGGGACGTAAGAGTCTTGAGTACTCGAGTATGCATTCTCGTATTGTTGGAACGTGCCGAACATGGACGGATCACCGAAGAAGCACACCGATGAGAAGAAAAAAACGCACAAACAGCGTCATATCTCCGTCGTGTAAGATAAAAAAATGTGGAGAAACAATCGGCTTTCGAAGCAACTTACAAAAGAGCGAGTTACTAGCGATACAATCTCGATGACGAAACCAGATCCAGTCAATGCTACACTTGCAAGCGTTGTGCCACGGCCTTCAAGCTGTCATGACTCATCTAGCTTTATTTTTTAATTCATCATTATTTAGTGCCATATTGCTGCATGCAAGACTCTTAATAGTGTGTGCAAGGTTGAATGCCGAAATTAAAATCGTACTTATCTGTCTGCCTGTCCGTCTGTGTAAGTAAATGATGCAGTCAGGTGTGGTTTATGCGCATTAAGTGCGTTCTAGTCTGTCATCACAACAAAGGTACAAAGACACATACGAAGTCACTCGTTATATGCGTCACTATAGTGCCACGCGCATGTGATTGGCTTATGAATTTAACAAAGGCGGTTATGATCGCATAAGCAAATACTAGACGCTCATAAGCACAGACCGATCGCGTTGCTCAAGTTTACTGAACCGGTTTGATACATACATTTACAGCATCATGCGCATTCTTATGTGACTGCTGTTGTATAGCGTTTTGCATCTTGATCCAGTTCTTAAATCTGGATTACTGATATCAAAGGGCGAGCTCCAGAGATTGCCCCCCTATCCCAATGAGTCGTGCATTCGACAATGACGACACCAAAACGATTTTCGCAAATCTTTATCATTATACCCGGTATAGACATAAGTAACACTAACAAAAAAACTCAGAAAATGCAATTACCACGAAGCAATGAAAAAATGCTCTCTTTGCTTCGCCGGTTTCCGGCATCGTCGTGCATCTAGGACTTTCAGTGCGATGTGCTCAAGCGATAAAGTTTTATGGCAAGTAAAGCACATGCGGCTTGGAATTCACATTCGAGCTGTCAGAGAGTATGCTCATCCGCACCTGACCAATCAATCAATCTGCATTCAGTGTTTGAGTATAAAATTGCAGTAATTTTACCAATTTAGTATTATTTTGCGCTGCTGTTACCAAAAATTGTTCCTGTTCTTGCCGCTGGGTAAGAATATTGTACACGACATTCTGTCTCACCTCAATTGCCAGATCTCCCTTCATCAAGTCTAGCTAGTGGGCTTTTACTAAGACTGAGTCTGTACTAGCCTCTGAGTGATTGTGACAAACTCAATTCCGTAATTGTTAATTTACTGTGTCAAAAGGGCTTAATTTATGCTTAAATTGTGATCACAGGGCTAAAATAAATCCTCTGTTGCTTGTTGAATAAATGCACATCCCTATTGATTATACGCAATAGTAAGCTTCGATAATGTGCCTGTCGTATCACCAAGCGACTTCGTTCAAATGTTATGGGTCCGAGAGGCTAGAGTTAAAATATTCATCCTTCCGAGTATAAGTAGTGTTGATGGCGAGTATCCAGATGTGTGCGTTGAAAGAAAGTAGGTTATTTATAACCTACTTTTTTCAATATCCTATTCTTCATCTCGAATCTCTATAATGGATTCTAGATGAAGAATAAAATATCGGAACGCGACGCAGATGATGCGGGGGTCTACAAAAGTAAGAAATTAGCAATACAATGACATCGACGATCAGATTGTCACAGGAATATTTTAGAAATAAATATTTGTATTACTGAGCTTGCGCCACACATATACAAAATTTAGCCATCAATCACTACTGTTTCAAACGCAAGAATCAGTTCACGAGCCATTGTTCGATGCATCTATACTTCTGTAGTTGTAACTTTACTTGCTTTCCTGGTTCAACTACATCACTGTTAGGCACGATTACGTTGCACTCGATTCAAAGTTGCGGAATAGGTACATTGACGTATTGGCATCAGTTTTAATAATGAGGACACATTAATGGTAATAATTTACGCCAGTATGGATGTTCGTCACATCCCTTCGAAATCGAGCTGATTTGCATATCACCACGGATATTCACTGTGCGCCTGTAGTCATGGCTAACCCTAGGACCCGAGTCACCGCTAGGGCTGGCACAGAACCAAGCTACTTACAGCAGGTTATCGCAACTTTTTTTATCGTGCTACTCGCTTATTAGTTTCGTTTGCCTTTTCATATTCATAAATTGATTTATCCATTTCGAATACGATACAGTCCGTATACATTGGAGTCGGTGCTGCAAATTAGCTTGAAGCGAAGCTGACATCATGCAAGAAACGACGATAATCATGTTCGCTGCTGTTCGATGGTGTACCTAGCAATTGGGTCGCTGCATAGGCCAATTCAAGACATTGTCCAATTTGTTTTGGTACACTTAAGTCGTTAAATTATCTTAAGGACCCGAAAATCTTCATCAGACTATGGCCTACAAAAAAATTGGGAAAATCTTGATGAATCTCACATTTGGCTTCCGGCGCCAGATCGATCCGTGAAACTGCAAGCATTAAAACAGAAATAGAGAGTGTACGAGCCCAGCACGGCAGAGATGGCGCCGCAGCTGTTAGGTGAAAACAAGAATCACGAGAAGCGCACGACGGAGTGCAACAAATAAATGTCACTTGAGCAACCTGCGGACCCTTATCTACAGGTCTGCGCAAGAACATCGGCAACGACGTTCTAGGTGCCCGTGACATGGTGGATAGTAAAATGCAAAAGATTCAAATGCCGAGCGAACTTGGCGGAAACATTTGGATGCTGCGTCGACCAGGAACACGCGCTATGTTCGGTACAAATATCGCCGGCATTGAGATACTGTCGCCAATAATCCTTACCCAATGTAATTGCGAAGAGCTCTTTTTCGTGCGTTGGACAATTAAATACATGAAAGCCAAGGTTTTTCGATTAGAATGCGATCAGATGGTCATTATGCTCGTAAATTTGGGAACCCCCCACGCAGGCACCCGAGGCATCTGTGGTAAGTACAAAAGGCCGCAGTAAATCGTCCAGCCTGAGGCCAGGAGCATGCTTTAATGTCTGTGTAAGACGGTTTAACGTCGTGGCGTGATCAACACTCCAATTCCAAGGCTAAATTTTTTTACGAAACGACTCAAGGGGAGAAACCGTGTGAGATAGTTTAAAAATAAAGCGGCGGTACCCGGCGAGGTCAGACAAACTTTGCAGCTCCTTCACGCTAGTGTGGGAAGGCCAGATTGCGATTGCGGGTGTCTTGGACTTTCTAGCCAAAAGGCCGTGATGGGAAATTGTGTGGCGGAGAAAAATTACCTAGCATAGGCCAAACTTGCATTTATTGCAGCGAGCAAACAGCCTTTTCGAGCGAAAACTTCGAACAAGACCTCAGGGTGATATGCTCATCCATAAATTTAAAAAAAACACGGATGTCGTCCAAGTTCACTATTAGAATAGGATATTTACCGAACAGAACCGTTAGCAGCCGCGACCTTCCATCTTGACCTTTAGGCACGACACATTAATCATACTTTTCGTTAGATGTGCGAAAAAAAGCCGTGTCCTTTTTTGTGTCCGGATGGACACGCATCTGGTGATACCTTTGCGCTAGATTGATAACGGTATAATTTACATGTCTAGAATCCGATCAAACGGCTTGTCGATGCAAGGAAAAGGAATTTTTGGAACCACAGCACGATAATTGACATGGTGGTCATCAATTACCCACTATGTTAAAGCTGTCGAATCATTCGAACGAATCCATTCTGCACTAGACAACGTGATTTCAGTCAAGGTATTTTAATTGAGAATGTCGAAAAGGTTCATTATCCACAAAGAGTCTGAAGCTTCATTTAAGCCTTTCGCAAGCGTCTCCTTGATAAACAACCGTAGTGTTTCTTGTTCTGATTGCGAAAGTCGATACAGATACGAGTGCTCGGGATGGCATTCGTTTTCATCGTCCATAAAGCGGGTGATTGATTTTTGCAAAATTTTAGACATTTCTTCACTCTCTGTTACTCCCTCGTCGAAGAAATTGACAGCATCAAGCTATCAAAAAAGTTGTTGCGACTTATGTGACTTGAATCTGAACTGTTGCGGTTCTGTATTACTTAAAAATTTTCGGTGACATGCCCTTTCTTTTTATATTAGCTACGGAATGACTGTGATCGCCTTTGTTGATTGGGTTGAACTCGCCCTTGAGGACGGAACGGTCGATCATTGTCGATCTTCATTGGCTCCGGGTGGGTAAAAATCGGCAAAGAAGACGCAAATGGTTTAATTGTACGACCTCGTAATATTTGGGACTCATGTCATTGTCTTGAATGCGAACTTTTATGATTAATCGTGGATCTGATTGCCTGACTTAGTAAGGAACAGCGGCGATGCTCTACTTCCTACGGATGGTACATCTTTATCCGCACAAAAATAGAGTATTCAATCGATCTCGCTTATGTCAGTGACATGTATCATAACTTGACGAAAGCGAGCAACATAACAGGCCAAGTTGCTACAAGCTGATTGCTTTTTCGAATGCAGGTCGTCACGTAGACGCTGTTGAAGGTTGGTCGGAACAATTTAAGGTCCAGTTCGGTAAAAGAAGTGTCGATCGAGGTGATTTCGGCTCGATGTATATAGTGCCACTGCGCAGCAGGTCCTCGTAGGCCATTGGTAAGGATGGCGATGACTTGTCCAGATCAAGTTATAGTAATTTAACTGATTTCATGTGCTTTATAATAATATTCTCCATATGATCGGAGAATAGCTGTGCTGATTTTTACAGACAACCAGTGTAGACGGGAATTTTTTTTCGTCTACTCGACTGCTTGTTTCGATGAAGGGACACATAGGTGTTCTAAAATTAGCTGTTGATGTTTCAATGTTTGCACCACACTATCCATAATCTGGGTTAAGACGGTGTCGGCCATGGTAAAGAGAATAGAAAATAACCAAAATGCTTAATTAGAACTTAATAAACTGACTAAATTACTTGTAGACGTCTTGCGCTCCTTTGCTAAGTCCTGAAGAGCGTAAACAAGGTCTTGACACAGAGTACGCTCCTCCTTTGTAAAATGAACGTCGTATTCACGTAAAGGATTGGCCAAAAATCGTCTTCTTCCGGCAGGTAGCTCATTTCCTTTTTCAGATCGCGGTGCAACGCTTGACAGCATCGGATTAGCTTCAATATAACTATCAGGATGTCGAAAAGTATTCGGATAAAAAAATACAAAGATAGAAAAATTAAAATAGTGTCCTCGTGATCGCCATATTCCAATAATTAAAATCATTATAATTAGTACCCTTTCAAAAAAATGTCAGGGTACTATTTTAATAATAATAATTTAAAAAGATAAACATGTATTTCTAAACTCACGTACCAATTTAAAAGGCGAGCAGCCGAACTCTTGGAATCTACTTCAGCTTCAGGATGTTATGATTCGACATCGAGGTTCAAGAGGGAGGGTTTTCATTAATTGTTGGCTTTTTTAAATAAGAATGTTGTATTTTGTTGATCAAACAACTGAATTAATTTTAAACCATAAATTATGAAATTATGTGCATAAATCTTTATTTCTGGAAGTCATTTAAAAATGGAATCAAAAAATTTAGGCAATTTAATTTTTAAAAAAAAACTCGAAATAGTAGTAAACTGTACACTCTTACTGATCGACTTATGCAGATTACAGGCGCAACTTGCAGTCTCAGCTCCAGCTCTGAAGAGTAAGTGTAACGGGGTGAACCGTTACAGAACAATGTATTAGAAATTGCTAATAGAATATAACTGTAAGAGGTATATTCTCAGAATATTGTCATATGGACAAATATTATGTAGCACTTACAAGTAGTTCCTAATTGGTTGATATAGGCCATTATATCAACCAACGAAGACGCGCCTCGACAGACGCACGCAATGAGTGGTGAGCAGATAGTTGATATGCACATCTGTATCCAGGCATAGTTAGATGAAGATAAATAGTGATTTATTGCAGACATTAACTATGATAAATACAGTTCTACTTTTAACTTTAACCAATCACTCGCTTCTCCTTACCGTCTTCCTCTGCACGTTCCAGTGTACGTGAAGATTCGAGGCACCGCCTTATTCTGTCGTCAGAATAAGTAGCTCGTACTGTCATCGGTACAAGCTTCAGGGTGCCCCGTTACACCTGGTAGCACTTCGTAGTCCGTCCAAGGACCACGTTCACATCTAACATGAATATGTTAGATGATGAAGATGACCAAAGTTATCACGCTACGCGTGACGGCTACTCCCATTTGAGCAATGTCGAATGGGATGCGGTTAAACGGATGGGTTCAACCATGGGCATCCATGCTGTTAGCGTCATGCTAGAGACTCTTAAAAGAGATGCCCAACATGCTACTATCGCCAAGTTCATTCAAAATGAACTCGACGCTGAACGCGAGAAAGTAGCCTTGCTTCACCAACAAGGTTCTCAACAATCAGAGTTGTTGAGAGAACAGGGTGCTCAACAATTCAAACTGTTGAGACAGCAGCAGGCTGCTGCTGGTGGGTCGATGCACTCGCGTCGACCCGAGATCTTGAAGATTGACATCTCCAAGTATAGGGGAGTCGTAGAGGAATCCCTCTTGAGATGGTTTGTCGAATTAGACGACGCCATAAGGGCGCGTCGCATCGACGACGGGGATAAGCAAGTTGCATTCGCCCAGTCAAATCTGGCAGGACGTGCGAAGACATGGGCACTGGGGCTCAAGTTGCACGACCCATATGCGTTTGGGTCGTTGGAAGTCTTAAAGTCGCGGCTCAGACAAACGTTTGAACCGCCTAGAGCTGAGTTCAGAAGCTCGAACTGAACTCTTGAAGCTCATAAAATGTAAGCGTGATGTGCACGCTTACGCGCAACATATACGACATCTCACGAGTTGTATAAGTTCCAATCCGGTGGATGAACACACATTGGTTTCGGTGTTCATGCAGGGTCTTGCGGATGGTCCCGTCAAGACTCACCTGTTCCGACTTGAACTAGATTCACTAGAACAAGCCATTTCCATTGCGGAGCAGGAAGACTTCAGTCTGAGACAGGCTCGCGCCAGCTCGACATCATATCGTCCACCGAGACGATATGACAGCGGAAGTCCAGAGCCGATGGAACTCTGTTATGTAGAGAGCGAGAAGGCTCGCTCTACAGGGTACAAGAAGATGCAGAAATGCAACAGATGGCAGAAGACAGGACACTACGCTTACGAGTGTAGTGCCCCTCGTCCAGCGTCTCGCAACACTGGGCGTAGTGACCGTCCACCCATGAGAAAGGGGCAGGGACGTGGGTCCTATGTTGGTGCAAAGACGCAACAACGGGATGGACCGTCAAAAAACGGACAGGATCAGTAGGTGCGGAGCACCCTACTGGTCTAGCAACGTCAAGAGAATTTGTAGGCCTCTTGATGAAGGTTGCTCCCAACGCTCAAACGTTGTGCGTTGCTGCTCTAGGTAAAGAGATCTCACTCATTACCTTGAAACTCGAAGTGACAATTAAGTTGTCCCTTCGAGCTCTAGTCGATTGTGGGGCGTCCAACAATTTTGTGCGACGCCAATCGCTAGAAGATGGTCACTTTAAATTCAGTGAATGTGACACACCTCCTACGAGGATGACGGTACGTCTTGCGACAGGCGCATCCGTAACCGTCATGAAGCGTATAGTGAAGATCCACTACACGCTAGAAGATACCCAATATGACGATGACTTTATCGTATTGGATTTGGATGACAAATTTGATGTCATCCTTGGAATACCGTGGCTCAGAAGGTACGAACCACGGGTAAACTGGTAACATCGAACAGTAACGATGCCTGCCGCTTGTTCATCAGATGGCCATCTGATGAACGTTTTGGAGCGTCCACAAGCGTTTGTATGTACTACGAGTGAGTGCGATGGCCTCACTTGTGGTACGGTCGTTAGTACGACTGCACAAAACCTTAGTGTACCAAACGGTTACACTTCGGAGCAAGCTTCCGGCGGCTGTGAGGAAATACAGGCTGCGCCGAAGGTCCACCACCCGAATAAGTCGAGTGTACAGGGACGAAGATGTATCCATAGCGGGGAACATCTAGAAGAGAAACAATCGATCGCTCAGGTTAAGCGAGCGATAATCCTTGATCGACTGAAGACTCTTTCGTAGAAGATCTCGTTGTGGTTGCGCAACCACAGCTAGAGGAAGTTAAGGGAATAAGTCCCGATATTACAAATACGGTGGAAATAAGTTCCCCGAAACCCGGGGGATTAAGTCCCCGGGAAGACGAAGGAATAAGTCCTTCGAGGCCTGAGGGAATAAGTCCCCAGGAAATGACAGAGACGGTAAATGTCCTAGTCAATGATGGATCAAGTGTAGGCGCTTATACACTTGATCTGATTGCGCCTCCGAAGTTAACTTCGGAGATCACTCAGTTGTCAACGCTCGAACATAAAAGGTTCTTGCGTGATCTGCGTAGTGGCAAAGTCAAGCAGATCTGCGTACTCGTCGCTGACGACGAGTGTGTAACCGACATAAGGTCAGCAACAGTGTTCACTGAGAACGAGAGAGTTCTCAGTAGTTCATCGATGGACGAGAGCGTCCTCGATGAAAAGACACGAGTTGAGCGATATGAGTCCCAATCGTGGGAATCGCTCAAGGAAAATCCTCTCTATGAAGATTTGGTTGAATTCAAGGATGTATTCCCTGAAACTGTCCGTGCGAGTTACCGAAGGATAAAGGTACTCGACACGATGTCGAGCTGAAACCAGGCTCGAAGTACTGTGTCATTACCCCTGCCACGTTCAACAGATGTGTATCACATCTGTTGAGACCAGTACGAGAATTCGCACCGAGTTATTTCGATGACGCATTCATCCATAGTCGGGCAATAGATGGAAAGTCGGACGTTGAGGTTCACAAATGCCACGTCCGACAGGTTCTTACAATCATGCGAAAGCATCAATTGTATGCAAATGGCAAGAAGTGTATATTTGTAGCAAGCGAAATACCACTTCTTGGGTGCATCGTTGGTAACAACGGTGTACGTCCTGATCCCGAAAAGATCAAGGCGATCACCGACTGGCCTGTGCCGGTTGATGTCAAAGGTCTTCGAAAATTCCTTGGGCTAGCGGCGTATTTGCATAAGTAATCACGCAATTACGCCGAGATGACTGTATACCTCTGTCTTTTGTTGAAAAAGAACGAGAGGTGGTTATGGAACGCTGAATGTCAGCGCTCGTTTGATGGTATCAAGCAGAGCTTGATACAATCCCCAGTCCTAGCAATAGACGATCAGGACAGGCCATTTCATGTGGTCTGTAATGCCAGCGATTTCGCAATCGGCTGTGCATTAATGCAGTACGACCTTGAAGGCGTTGAACGCGTCGTCTGCTACCAGTCGCGTCAGCTGCAACCAGCTGAGCGGAAATATACAGTGCATGACAAGGAACTCCTTGCCATGAAGTATGCACTCGCGAAGTTCAGAGTCTATCTATTAGGAGATAGACCTTTCATTGTTTACACTGACCATGCGTCATTACGCACAGCAGTAAACAGCCCGCACCTTTCACAACGAATGGCGCAGTGGTTGTCATTCTTTGCAGAATACAACTTTACGGTCGAGTACAAACCAGGACGACTCAATGTCGTCGCTGATGCACTCTCACGTCGTCCCGACTTTGATCCAGTCGTGAAACCCAACAGTGAGACAGTCACTGTTGCGGTTATGACGTCCTCAGTCCCATCTACAACGTTGTATGATGATGTGAGGCGGGCATACGCTCAAGATGGTGAGATTGTGAAGTTGTTGACACATCTCTCACAGCCATCTCGAGAATCGTTGAAACGATTGTCGTCTGCGTATCGATCTGCATCAGATCGATACACTACTCGCAACGGTTTACTGTATTATACAGCCGTTACTGGTGACACACCACGTGTTGTCATTCCAGATAATACTGATCTGCGTTTGCGGATCATGTTCGAGTATCACGATGCTCCTATAGGAGGACATCGTGGCCGAGAGAAAACATATCTCACGGTAAGTCGAGACTTTTACTGGCCCCGCCAGTATCAGTTTTTGCGAAAGTATGTTCGCGCATGCGAAGTCTGTCAACGAGTGAAGTCAAGTCCTTCACTGCGTGCACCTTTACAGCCTCTACCAGTTTCGGCAGAGTGATGGGAATCCATCTTAATGGATTTCGTCTTCGGGTTACCCAAAGACGCACGCAAGAATACGAGTATTCTCGTATTTGTTGACAGATTCAGCAAAATGGTACACCTTGTGGCTGTACCAGGGTCAATCACGGCAAGTGGCTGTGCTTGTGTCTTTATTGACACCATCTTCCGACTTCATGGGTTGCCCCGTGAACTCGTATCAGACAGAGATCCACGCTTCACTGCTGATTTCTGGCGTTCCGTGTTCAAATCACTCGGAACGCGCTTGAAGATGTCTACATCTGATCATCCAGAGTCAGATGGTCAGACGGAACAAGCCAATCGTGTCCTCGAAGAGAACTTCGTGGATACGTACACTCCTTTAAGAGTTGGAGTGAGTTTTTGCCAATGGTAGAGTTTGCCATTAACAGCTCGGTGCATGCGTCCACGACCCCTACACCGTTTTACGTGAATGGCTTACGCCATCCTCTTGTACCCACCTTACTAGAGTGTAACTCTGTTTTAAGGGGGGGACTCGCGCGAGCAAAAAACGATTTGGTTCACGCTCATCACGCTCTGACGATGAGGTCATTGCGTTTGATGCCGATATCGATAACATCGATATCGAAGAAGATGATGCCAGTGAGAGCGAGGAAGCCCTCACTGGAGAAACGATTGATGTTGCTGCAGTGCACTCATAGCGCACTGAAGCAAACGAGTCATCAGATGAATTCATACTGGCTCGTGAAACGGTAGTCCGTTTTGTGCAGGACTCCATCGCCGAAGCGGTGGATAAGCAAAAGCAAAACGCTGACAAGAGTGGAAGGGCAAACACTCTTTTATTTAGTAAAGGTGACTTAGTCCTACTGTCTACGGTTAATTTACCAAAGTATGTAGTGACTAACTTGGGTAGTAGTAAACTTCTACCTAAGTACATCGGTCCATTTCGTGTATTGCATCGCCTAGGCAATGCATACACGATCGAACTGCCACGTAAGATGTGAACGCATCCCACGTTTTACGTTGGTCGGCTAAAGCCGTTCCATCAGTACGCTGTTTCTTCCGACGAAGAACTCCCTTGCGTTCAAGCATCTCACAGAGAGCCTTGTGTTCGCGATGTTGGCCATCATCAAGGGTCAGAAAAGCAGTTATCTCAGCCCGAGAACGGTCAATTTCCGCGTGAGCTACCCTTAGCTCGTTACGCAGAGACGTCAGAGCTCTCTCGTTCTGAAGCTGAGCAAAGGCAAAGTCATCTCGATGCTTCAAGACAGCGTCCGCCAACTGAAGACGTCTGTCCCGCTCATGCTCGAGATCGTCGCGTAACCCTTGCGTTACGCGATCAAAGAGGCTTGGAGAGCGTCTTCCCTCCTCCTCCACCTTCTCTGGAGGCCTCTCGTGGTGGCCAGCGCCACCTGGTTGAGCAGCTGTTGAACCACCGCGACGTGAACGGACGTCGGACGAGTTATCTCGTCCGGTGGCGCGGCTATCCCCCGTCCTGGGATTATTGGGAGCCCCGCTCCCAACTGATGATTGACGTACTGGGTCTGGTTGAGCAGTACGACGCGGCACATCCTTTGCCGCAGAAGGACCGCCGGACAATGTCTTCCCGGCACGGTCGTAAAGGGATTTCAGGTTGTCAATCCCTTCGTACATCTCAATAGAGATACGTACGCGCCACCACGGGCTGTTAGGGAGGTAAGCCTCCTTAGGTGCTCGTGTAGAGTTGTTCACACAACATGGGCACGAGTCTCCCCAGGAGAGGCAGGGTAATCCTTTCTCCCTTGACAGACGATGCAGCTTGTAGCGTGCACCTGTCGGGGTTCGCTTTTCAAACTTATCACGAGCTTTGATAAGTTTGTCGTTCCAAACGTCACGACCTACACCCTCAAGGTTATGGATGTCAGCGTTCCACGCTTGAAGCAGTGAGGTACCATCACGTTTTTGATTCCCACTGTACCATCGATGTTTAAAGAAAGCATCGATGAAGAAATCATTTTCAGCGCGATAGTTTTTCGCACTGGGGTCAAGGTGATGGATCCTTGACGAATCGAACAATCGTGGTCGATAACGATCACTCGTCGTCGCCGAAAAGCGATCCATGACGGATTTTGGAGGCAGCCGTGCCTTCTTTTCGGGAGCGAGACGCAACACACTGCGTTCCCGCTCTTCTTGCGACGTACCGACATAATTACTGGCACCTCGTTGCGAGGTGGCGTCAATAGAAGAACCGAAACCAATGTGAGCGCCCGAGTCTAGCGACCTCGAGTGCCTTCGCTTCGGCGATGGCTCATCTGATTCGTCAGATAAACCATAGATGCTACGACGCATAGCATCATCCATGCCACGCTTGGCAGGCGGCTTGGTTTCAACCGCCTTCGATGCGGATTCCTCTTCCGTATCAGGAGAGTATGAGACACCGAGCTCATACTCTGTGAAGACATGAGTGTCTTCATGACAAGCGCCTGCATCACCAAGTGACACAGGCTGAGACGCTTTAGCAACCGATGACACATCGGTTGCAGCGGTTTCTGCTTCGGCGTCTGCACAGTGACGTGCATAAGCGCTCTCAGCGGCCTTGCTCGCGCACCGCATGGGCTTGTTATCCATGCGATGAAACTGATGGACTTGGACTCGGACCAAAAAGTGCAAACCCTGTCCCAAATAATTTGGGACGAGTATCCATTTAGGCAATCAGTCACTAATGTGACTGATCGTTAAGGGGGTGTGATGTAACGGGGTGAACCGTTACATAACAATGTATTAGAAATTGCTAATAGAATATAATCGTAAGAAGTATATTCTCAGAATATTTTCATAAGGACAAATATTCTGTAGCACTTACAAGTAGTTCCTAATTTGGTTGATATAGGCCATTATATCAACCAACGAAGACGCGCCTCGACAGACGCACGCAATGAGTGGTGAGCAGATAGTTGATATGCACATTTGTATTCAGGCATAGTTAGATGAAGATAAATAGTGATTTATTGCAGACAACTAACTATTATAAATACAGTTCTACTTTTTACTTTAACCGAGTACTCGCTTCTTCTTACCGTCTTCCTCTGCACGTACGAGTGTACGTGAAGTTACGCGGCACCGCCTTATTCTGTCGTCAGAATAAGTAGCTTGTACTGTCGTCAGTACAAGCTTCAGGGTGCCCCGTTACAGTAGGGCCTTAAACAGTCGATATGGATTGTACGGTCGCGTTTCCATTTTCTACTTCACGATGGTTGACATGACCGCACTTCTGCTTGCCTGACGGCTACTGACTGAAAGTCTAAAAAGCTCAAGCGGACCCACACAACAAGGTTTTAAATGACCTACACTGTCAACCCGACAAAAGGAACAAGACGGCCATAACAGACCTCAAACAGGCTTAGTGGCGCTATCGGATTAAGCAGGATCTGAGGCTTAGAGTGGATTTCGAAACTATACACCGAAAATTTAATTAGCACAGCGACAGCGAAAGTTTAATACAGGAGGCAATTCACACAGCAGCCGATGAGTCGAGCTTATAACGGAAGACGGTGACAACACTGGTGAAGTAGAAGACTTAGGTGAAGTAGTGAATATGCTGGATCAACAGGTGCTGCCACTTGTAAGGATGTAGGTGTATCTTGAAGTGTTTCGCTAAACTTTCTACACTGCGACTGATTGGGGATCAGCCCCTGTCTACTAAATAGCCCTAGCATTGTCTCGATCCATATTTCATCTACTGATTGGTTTTTGTCTCATTTGTTGTGGTGGTTGAGGTGCAGAGAGTGACGCAATCCTCAGATTCTTGTGTCTTGATCAATGTAAAAAAAGAATGAAGATGTATTCTTTTTGATATTACGATTTTTCCTCGTGGTCTTGCGTACTTATATTCCTTGCGTCTATCCGTAGTGGCTCCGCTGCATTGCAGCTTCATTTTACATGCGCCTTAGCGATACCATAGTCTTGAAATCCAGCAGACAGCCTACGACTTTCCGAGTTGAAATCCATGCAAAATGCAATATTGTCTGTATGCGGGGAATCAATAAGTCGCCTACTATGTCGCACCTGTGATGGCATGGATGGCAGTCCAATTCACGGCTCCCAAACCCAGTGCGATGAGATTAGTATTAGCTGCACAATACTCATCAATCCACTTCCTAAATTCCGATGCTGCGTTTTTCACGCGCACTGCGTCCATCAATGACAAAGGGTGCGCGCCTTATCAATTTAACGTTACGGCATACCTCGATACCTGTTCAGGGATGTGTGTGGATTAGCCTTCTCAATAGGTAATGCGATCCTGCCTAACTCTGTAGGAGATTGATGGCCTCCTGCTACGTTTTTACGACACAAGTGTACAAAATCATTTATGATAAATCGGCGATTGAAAGCCTAACAGTCCCTTTACTGGATGGTTCTGGAACAATAATTTTGAAATTTACACATGCCCGGATGCATCCAGTCATACGTAGTTTCCATAAGACTTGTTCCGTGGCTTTGTCGTGACAGGGAGAACTGCGTTTTAATTGATTTAATTCAAGATCCCTATGGAATCTGCCATGATGGTGATCATATTTTTATGAACGTACGTATGACATGAATCCTGAGTTCAGCGCTTTCATGACCACCTATTTCTGCTAAAAAAATGGTGCCAATTAAGGATGCTCCGTAAAACAACTTGAACTCACGGTTTGCTAAATTCCGATTCCTTTTAGGTACATCCAATGTTTGTACAAAACGGAGATTATTTTAGGTTTCAATAGGGTAGTCACACAGTTTGTGAAGGCTCATATTTCATTTCCAACGATTTTCTAATAGTTGCTAGCTCCGTTCTTAGCATCCCGGTGATATCGAGTTTATATGAGTTTGTTGCTCTAAACGAGGACGGATGGTATATGATGGTCGATATGAAAAAAAGAATCTGTCTTCCTGAACCGCGTGCTCCTTTAGTAGTTAATATTACCCGTGTTCCCTTGTTACACATGGACCCTCCGATAGAGTTGTTTTCCAGCCTCACTCTCCGCCCGACAATGCCCATGATTTTCTATGTTCAACCTACTTGCTGTTTACCATTGTGAAACGACACATTTTCGATTGTAAGGCTTGTAATTTTTTGCTGTATACCCATAACGCGACACAGTTAATTAGGCTAGATCCTAGATATCAGCGCATAAGCTAAAACAGCAATGCCTCCTTTATTTCTTTCTTTCTTGCACAGCCACTAGTCTAGTAGATCGCTTTGTACACGGGTCTCCCGTTCGCCAAAACGTGATGCCAGCTATCTGTCATGCCTTTCCACTGGTCGGGCCTTTGCGTAGTTGACTGTGTGTGCTAAAAAAAAATAGAATTTTTTCCATAGCAACCGCCGACATGACCATCGTTGTTCTCTCGTTCGTCAGCGTCTCATGTCTGGTGCGCCGGGACCATGTATTCAGGTGATACAACGCGATGAGCCAGGGTTTGCTCTGCCCCGTTTGTACTTCCGATTTGTTATTTCAGGTATCGCACAAAAAGCCAAAGTAGGCTATAGCATCATCGACCATTCCGAGTGGACGTTTTATAGCATTAATTTAGAATGACGCGCAATTGCGATCATTTTGCAAACATCAAATAAAATTGTGGACGTATGTTTATAAGCTTTCAGTATAAAAAAATTTACCACTGCATTCATAAGTATCTGAGGAAAGAGCCGTGTTATTTGCATACCCACCTACCTTTAAAGTAATTTCTACGGATACCCTGTAGATCTGATGACCGATAAGTATTTATTCAGGAGCTCCAGTGCCACTTTAAAGAGTAGGGTGCCAGGGGACAGTCTTGAAGGATGCCACTTCTGGATTTTTTCTCATTCTAGATCTATTGGCCAGAAAACCCTGATCGTGCAAGTGTCAATTGAATAACTTATACGTGGTAAGGTGTATACACGTGGGAAATTAGCACCGCATATCAGAAACTTGTATTCCAAGGATCATGAGCATTCACAAATCTGAGCAAAAACAAGTTCGATTCACGCAGTCCGAATGATGAATAATATGTTATAAGGAAGGAGGTTTATAGGCACAGTGTCGTTGCAAATTGAGCTACAGAGATAGTTTATAGACGAAGACTCGCCGTGATGCAAGATGCGTATGACACATTTGCGTAAAAGTCGTAGTAAGAGCGCAAATGCAATTAAGAGCAAGATGATGATACACACTATGCAAAAACGCATCATCCGTGAAACTGTCTTCCTGAAGCACACGGTTGCAAGATCAATAGATTATGATCCCAAGTGGGGGCTACGAGTACGCGTAACCATTTAACGCGCAGCGGCAGCGTCGACGGCGAGGCGTCGCAATGCACAAGATGTAGCACAAGGCGCTCGCTCCTGAATGAATCTCGATGTCGTATGCGCGCACGGTGTTCAATCCCTATTTCGAATGATTTTATTTGAATTTGTATAAGTGCACGTTGTGCAATCCCGCTTTAGAATAATTACGGACCGACCATGTAAGAGTACGTTGTGCTTCCATCGAGTTTAGCCTTAGTTAAAATTGAAAAAGAATTATGCATAGAATCCCGAAAGCTTAAAGTAGCAGCTTGCGTGCAAACTAAGGACCTTATGCAATAACTTTTGTATTTAACGTAAAGGCATTACATACCAGGCACCACCTCTATTAGTACTTGTTGGTCTAAACCCCCCAAACGCAGACCCTAAACCCGAACCAAGTCCGACCTGACTGCCAAAAGCTGTGCGAAGTTTAGGAACGCCATGAGCGGGCCGGCAAATGCTGGGCTCATGCAAAGCATGTTGGAGATGTTTTCGAAGCATTAAAATAAGATAATAAAGATGGCTAAGGCCACAAATCTTAAGAGTTCCATTTGGACGCAGTGAAGGCTCTACGGAAATGGAGGGCAATTGCAAGAATCGTTTGCACTCGATAAAAGGACAGCAGCACTACACAGTGAGTCGTGTCACTTGGAAATGCGCGACGACGTCTACGATAATCCCAAACATTGGAAGCATGATCGTAGGCAATGCCAAGGAGTACCTCAGTTGCTCAAGAGCAGGATCACGACTGTGGACGAGATTTTTTTCACCTGAAGCAAGCGTTTTTACCAGAAGTTCTTAGATGCTTTTTTGCGGCAACTGGACAGGTTTGGTGCCGGGAACTTAAAAATATCTCCCATCGCTTCCGACGGCTGATAATTTAGTTGCGGAAAAGGATTGACGTCGACTCCTTTTGATTTTACTCAAAGAAAATTTTATCAAACTCGTGCAGAAGTCGATTAAATACGATGCTCATTGCTGAGTCGAGTTATTAATGTTGCTTATGACTTTAAGAGTTCGCATGTTGGCGTTGGGGCCTCCAAACGTGCGCAGTTGTTTCGTCACAATAAGTAAGGTTGCGTTCTTCCTCAAAAGATGCCCAACCATTGTCGAAGAAAATTGATAATGAACATGTGGTGCTTTAGGAAGAGTGCTTCCAGCGCAAACTGTGCTATTTTGCACCAGCCAGGACATTGACTCGAAAATAGTTCGACGAGACCACGGAAATGGAACGCGTCAACCTTCGAAAGGTCAAGTCGGCATGATCGATAGTATGGGAACAAAAAATTTGAAGATAAAAATG